GAGCACTTACTTAATTGAACAACCTCTCCCAATTTGTTTGTGTTAAAGGAGTAAGGAAAGACACTAGACAACAATTTGTGCGTGTGTGTGTGTTTTCCTTTGTGCTGTGTGTGTGTATGTGTGTATGTGTGTGTGTGTGTGTGTGTGTGTGTGTGTGTGTGTTAAACCCCTGCCAAGCAGAGATGCATTATTTAAGATGCTGTTGTGATACTTGTGCCTGCTTAAAGGTCTCAGCTTCCTTTTAACGCCATGCCGCATCGGTCCACCTCTGCCCCCACTTGTGGGAGGGGAACCAGAGTGGGACCTGCTGGTACTGGTCCACATATCACCTGGGAAAATATCACAGCAGGGGGAGGAAAGGAAGTGTTATGAATAACCTTTGAGTTTAGCACACATTCTTATCAACATAAAGACATTTTATTAGCTCACTTTATTTTGTGTTTGTCAGATTTTACAAGACAGTTAAGGATATTAAACTCATGGGGAAAAAAAAGTTAAGTCGCGTATTTGTGCGCATTGTATGCCCTCCTGAAAGTTATTTTTAAAATGGTGGTTTTGATACGTTTCCACATTCACAGAGCAGCTTTAACTGTGAGGAAAATAAAAGGTTGAATGCCAGTTTCAGACCAGCACGTGGAGCTGGACATAAGTGTTATTGGGTCTAAATTTGGAAATGCCCGGCCGCTCTCCTACTGGTGAAAAAGCCTGTAATGGAACATAGTATCGTAAATTGAATATGGTTAATTACTCTTCATGCTATGTCACCAGCCGTGTGTGCAGGGCGAAAAGGAAAAGCTCGGGAAAGTGGAGGGAAAAAGCGTCTGCAGAGGAACTTCAGGGCCCCTCATTACACTCTGCCCCTGGGTATTTTTACGCCTTTTATTTCCCATCTAATGAACTGTTTACATTTTTCAGCTTTCCAGGCACCACAATTATTTGCGCTTGTCCTTGTGTCACTCGTTGCACTGGGCAAAAAGCAAGGAGGAGAGTTGGAGGGCACTGAAATGTGTATATAAATCTCGTTGTATTTGATTTTAATTATTGGATTTTTTTTTCTGCAGATAGGGAACTTTTCTCTTACATTACAAAGATTGTTGACTGCTTGAAATTAGAAAAGGTCATTGTTTTGCAATCATCAATACGTTTTCTGTAAACAGATGTTTTTCAAGATTTGCTTTCTTCTTTCTGGTTGATGGGGGAACTTAAAAATCATCATGTTAATTTAGGCAATATATCCCCCATGCATGCCCATATACTAGAAAGAAATCGCACACAAAGGAGGGATCCATATATTTGCTATAATTAAATAAATATCATTTGCTGCTCAGAGGATTATGCCAAACTGATTAGCATATCTGATATGAATTGTTATGCATGCATATGTAATTACATTTTGATGGGTAAAGAAGAGTAGTGTTTTTTTTCCTCCGTCTGCTATCCATGTCAACAGAGGTAAAACGTGTGTTTTTGACAGGACACCAGCACCTCCATCGCTGCATTTGACGGGATGTGTAGAGTTTTAAAGGCAGGCCACTTTGCATAAAGTTAAGATGTACCTTTGTACTTTTCTTGTGTGCTTCCGGGAATAGAAGCAAATTCTCACCCAAGATTAAAAAAGTGACAAAAGACAGACCTTTCAAAAGGATTAAAAAAAGCTCCTTTTTTTTCTCTTTTCTGAGCAATAAGGTATCTTCTAAAAGCGCTCATTCTTTTTTAGATTACAAAGCCTGATTAGCTGGTTTCGTCTTAAGATGTGGAGCTCAGTCTTTACATACTGTAGCTAGAATGAGAGAGTTTCAGTGCATTTTCCTTATAGAATAGAAGATTCTTTACTCCAGGTATCTGATATCTGCTTTCCTGACCTCAGAGTCATCCTGTTGTCACTTAGCAATTTTTTTTTTTTTGCTTAACACCCCTAACTTATAATCAAAATCTGCTCCTGTATTAAGCAGTCAATATTGCACAGCTGTTTCACATCAAATGGGAAGGCAGTAATCATTCAGGAATCTGTTGTTTTCCTGAGGGGGAATCCAAAAACCGGAGTGTATACTGTAGGTACAGGGGAAGTAGCGGCACACTTTCATTTCAATGACACTTTCCATTCTTTATACTTCCCTTTGTTATCTACACTGTTCTCATTGCAGAAACGCTTCATACATTCATCTGTAACAGACAGCTATTTAGAAATACCAAAAAATTTCCTGCATATGGTTTGAAGGCGACGTAAGCCTTAACATTCAAATCAATGCTTCTCCCAGGCTTCCTCGTCTCAATTACTGGTGAAGTCGTCTTTCCCCCTAAGTTGCGCTGCAGCTCTTTAAGATGAAACTCGACTTAAATGGAATATGTGGGTGTTTTTTCCTGGCAACAAATATGTGTGTGTGTGTGTGCGCCTTGTGTACGAGTGTACATTGCTGTTTTCAAATTGATGCTTATTGTCTTTCTGGTTTCACTCAAATCTGAGTCTTTCTCATGTCCTGACAGCAACACAGTGACCACTTATTTACCCCTGCATGGAGGATGGGGCTTAAAAACACTGACAGTAGACTTGAAATTAAAATAAGCATAAAAGTAAGTTACATTTAGGGTGTCTGCGGGTTATAAAAAGTCTTAAATTCAGCCTTAATAGTCATTAAATAGTCTTAATTGTCATATCTAATTTGATTTATCCATCGTTTAATGTTGATGTTCAAATCCTTACACCCACAACTGAGGGTAATGCTGTCTTTTTACTTTACACTTGCACTTGTTGGCAAAATTTTGATTAACCTGCGTCACTCTAATAACCATATCCTTACATAAAACCTGCCTCTGTATGAGATTACATATGTACTTCTTACCTTTATACTCACCTGCAGTGCTTAAATGAGTGCTTAAATAAATTTGGTGTAAAAATTATCTTACAAAAGCCCTTAAAACGTATTAAAGTTTCTGATACCTGTAGACACACATTTTTAGATTATCTAATTTTAAAGAGACAAAATATGACCACTTTATATGTAAATATACATTTTCTACAGACATTTGAACAAAGAGGATGTTTCAGGAGAAACACTACACATGTTTACGTCATCTTTATTTGCCAAAGTGTCATATTCATGTTATTGATTTAAGTCAAAAGTGTCGAGGCAGCAAATTGACTTGATTAAAAAAAAATCAAGTATGATAAATTCATGGATTGCATGTCTGTTAATTTGCCTACTTTTTCTAGATCTTTTGAAATTTGCTGTGATTGAGTGTTGCAACAATTATCCCAAACTTAAGAGTTAATAATTGAACTTTAAGTGTTTTGCGGCACAATCGCAAAGCAATAGCAAAAACATCTTAAAGCACATTTTGACACAGTGCTCCTGTGTAATGTGTGTTTGGGGGGTAGGTGGGGGCAATGTTGTGTTTTATTTGAGTCCGTGCTGCCGATCTTCTCTTTTCCCCACAGTGGGCGTTCTGTGGTTAGCTTAGGTCCCTGTGGTTGAGTATTGTTTGGGTGCGCTCTTTATCTAATGGGTTTTGTGGTCCGGGTCAATCAGGCCCTCAGTCTAGTCAGTAATTACTCCAGAGAACCGTGGCCCTCACCATCACGATAATAACAGCCAAATCACATCAGCCATGACTTTCCACTCAGTGCTCCAGATTATGAGGAGAGACAAATAACAAAAAAAAAAATCAACTAGCTGGATTGTGATTGGTTCCAAAGTTATTTCAATCAAGGAACTTGATATCATCACTCGTGAGGTTAGAATTGGCTTTTTCAAGTTTGATTTGTGCTTCTCTTACGGAGGGTAGCATCAAAGTACTTTGTGCAATAGCTTCTTCAAACTTTTACTGATAATAGAAAGATAGTGGGGAAAGGATACTGTATTTGAGGAACAAAAAATGTCCCCACCAGGTAATTGGTGTTCCCTCACTGATTCCCTTACTTTGTTTTATTTATTTAGAGTCGAGAACTAAGTAAATATAGACAATAGAAAGAATTCGTGTTGAGAAAAAGTGATATTTTCATTCCTATGCTGGTGTTTGTCTTTGATTTTGCCCACCTCCTGCAGCCCACCTAGAAACCCTGTCAAGGCAGGGAGAGAAAGCGAAGGAGGCTTAGTAAACACTTTCTGTGTCTGCTGCTGGTGTGTATTTAGTTTAGAGGGCATGCCAAGAGGCTGTTTTTCCATGGGTCGGGCGTCTGTAAACAAGCGGTACAACGGCAGCCCACTCTTCGACAATCGGAGGTGGCACACTCTGAAGTGTGTATGAAATGTGTGTGTCTGAGTGTTTGTCTTTTTGGGTTTCTTTCTTTTTTTTTTTTTTGGACATGGCATTCCCTCTTATTCTAGCTCTATCTGGAGACAGAAAGAGAGAGAGTGAGAGAGGGTTTGTGTGTGTGTGTGCGTGTTAGAGAGAGGCAACCCCAAATCCGATGGGCCGCCAATGGGTGATGAATTATTCCCTGTCTGAGTCTCAGCATTGGTGTTATCACAGAGCCTGCCACTGCACTGGGATGACAGCGGTGACAGCCCCCAGAAAAGATTTAGCGCTGACAAGTGATACTTCCTCATAATACATCTCCCTGGCCCTCTCCCCTGTCCCCCTGTTCCACAATCTCTCCATGCACACAAGATGAGGTTTTTTATCCCTCAACTTATATTTGTTTAAGTGGGCAAGGTGGGGGGGCTCTTTGCCATCACTTCTTTGGCACAAGTGCACTAGGTACAGTAGATCACCTTGGAAGGGAGGCATGGGCACAAACCCAGACGTGCTTGTTTTCAGTACATGTGTTGTAGGGGGTACACACTCAGACTCACACTTGTTCACACAACCTGCATGTGTATGACTCAGTTTGTCACCAAGTTCCATTAGGGGGCTCTCGTGCTTAAGGAATGCCTGTTGTGTTTTTGCATCAACAACAGTACTAAGCCATATTTCCCCACTTGTTTTCTCTTTTTGCTCTCCCCTGTTTCCCCCTTCTCTTCTTCTTTTTGTCCTTCTTCCTCATCCTCCTCCCCCTGCAGAAAAGGTCACGTATTGCCTACAGTGATGAGGTGCGCAACGAGCTCCTGGGGGATGACGCCAGCTCCTCGGAGAACCAGGTGAGGTGCTAATCAGGGGGCCCGAGCGACACCAGTGTGGGTGGCTGACTGGCCCCAAGGGTGAGGAGGTGGGCCCCTCGTAGGGGCCATCGGGAGCTGAAACCGCGGTATTGTCACCAAGTCATGCGGAAGGAACACTGTTTAATGCAAAGCTGGGCTGCCAGTGAGTGGGCTCAGGGCATGGGACCAGTGTCTGGCCAAAGCCAGATTGTGATCGACACAACACACACACACACACACACACACACACACACACACATGCACACCTAAACACAGACACACAACCCAACACACATTTCAATCCAGAAACCCGGCCTCCCCACTCCAACCGTCCCACAGCTGTTCTCCAGCCGGGTGTGGACTTAGGCCAATAATAGATCCTCCATCCTCCACTGAGGTCCGCACACATACGCAGACATACATGCACACGCAGAACTGCCAAATCTTGGTTTGCGGTCTTTCTTTAAACTCTAAGGGTGGTGAACCTGCACAATGCAGATACACAAAATTACTATGAAAGCAGCTTCTCATTTTGTTGACAACTGATATTAGAAAAAATCATTGAAATATTTTGGTGCAGCACTCAATACAAATTATCCTTTAGCCCTTTAAATGTTTTTATTTATAATTTAATATCAGCTCTTAATCAAAACTCTCAAATTCTATTTGACTTCTTTATGGTTTTGATCTATTATCTATCAGCATATTCACAATTGGTTTATTGTTTATTAAAGGACGATGACTGACGTTTTGTTTGAATATCAGTTCAGCCTGTTGAATTTGAGGGATATAAACAACAGATAAAGACCACATGAGCAATTCTCATTCATTGTCTGCAATGTCTACAAAAGATCCATTCACAGCAGTTGTGAAAGTGGCAACGTAGAAGAAAAACAATTATCTTGAATTGTGATCTTAATTGCCCAAAATATGCCACATGTTCTTTTAAACTTAAGTTGTTTTGAATAAATGTAGAGCTGCATCAAAAACAGTGATACATCAACGGATTCAGCGAGCAGCGTTTTAACATTTAAGACGCACTTACCTATTGCTCACCTGCACAGCTGCCACTCATACGCAGCCACTCTCAACTATGACCAAACGTCTTTTGACTAATTATATATTACCTTTACAATCGGCTGTCAACTTGCAGGGGTTACTGCGTCTCAAGGCACACACAATTACACACACTCGCTCGCATGCAAATAAATACTTTGCATTTGCACAATCAAAAAAAAAAAGAAAAAAAGACAAAGATGAATACTCAAATGCATATTTGCACATTTAGTCCCTCAGTGCTTTATATGAGTATATTTAGACGATTCACAGCTAAGCAAAGCTAAATAAAGTTGTCTTTTTTTTTTTTTTTTTTTTGAACGTTTCCCTATTACCATTTCAATGATGACCCATGAACCACACATCTTAGAAACATATGTATCAAGAACCAAGATGTGTAATTGAAATGCATATTCTCGGCAAATTAGCGAGACACAAAAGTGACTCTGACATTTTCTGCAGAAGTTGGAAGGAGATTTGCTGTCAGAAATGTCACGTTTGAGACACTGAGGAGTTCTATCAAAATCCTGTCAAGGAAAAGCTGGAGAGGAAAAAAAAATATCACATTTGATTTCAAATCTTATTTCCCTTTCATTAAAAATGCATCTGAAAATATTTAAAAGAAATATTTATTAATGTAGAATTTGTAGAAAATTATTGAAAAAAATATATCAGTATAGAATCAATAGTATGAGTAATTATGTTGAATCTATATTTAAAATTTGGGGAATCACTGTTTTATTGTTGTATTTTTCATTGAAAACATTATAATTCTTGACAATAATTATCAAATTAATTCTATATTGTTTTATATCAAATTACTGTATTGCTAAATTATAAAAAAATTCAATATAAATAAGAAATATAAAATGTTTTGGTGATCCATGCATGCAGACATGTCAGGAAATTTAGAGGAAGCAGAATGTGACATTTAAATCTATGGACACTTCCACAACTTCATTCTTACAATCCTCACTTCACACATCAATATAATAATGCAAATTGTTAAATGCAAAATAATAATAATTAAATGAAATGAATGTGAAAATGTTTAACATATATTAACATTGAAACATAATCATTTTGGGGAATTTAGGCCAAACATAATGCCCTTAAAATATAAGCTATTGTAAGCTATTGTCTTCCTTTTATTTTATTTTCCCAGTTTCTTTTTTTTGCAAAAAGATATCAAAGACTCAAAACCTTAATATGTTTAAAACATACACCATCAATTATTAAATAGGAAAAAACACAGTAATAATTAGCAATAATAATGTCTGAAGTGAAACTTTAATAATTGTAATTATACAGTATATGTAAAACACACACACAAAGCCTCAGAGAGAGTTCACACTGGGGGCAAAAGCAAAGTAAATACATGATATACATTTTCCCTTTTTCCTCCCAGGTGCCGTATTTACCTCATTTTCATTTTAAAACTTGTGGAGATAATACTTGTCTTGGTCTTGCTGTGAGTGGAGTACTCGGAACTTCAGGGTTTTTTATCTAACGAGACGGCGGCGATAGGAGAGGGGAAAAGATGGTGGGGGCCGGGGCAAGTCGGTCAATTTAATTCCTGACGATCTGAAAGAGGTCAGGATCATTTCATATAGCCCTGGCTGAGCAGATCATTACCAGTCACAAATCTGTTGGTTACATGGCAAGGATTTATAGCTAAGTAAATAGGGAACCGTCATAAGTTCTGAAAATGGCGTATTGGCCCTGCGATAATGGCTAAAGGACGATTTAATAGAGTTCGGCATTTATTCGTTATCTGTATGCGGACAGAGACTGAATTGGCACTATCACTCGTTTTTTTTTTTTTTTTTTTTTTTTTAATAATGTGGTAGGCTACCATTGCACATTTCTTCTTTCTGTTTCCTCTGCATGCAACACACGCACAAATGTTGGTGCGCACACACACACACACACACACACACACACACCAACACCACACACACACACGCAGAGACGCCACACACAAAGCAGCAAATGCACACACATTTTTCACACACGAACACTATACGGAATAGTTTCGATTTCAGTCACAGCAGAAGGCTTGGCCACAAGAGATTGTGCTGGTTTGAGCCGGCATGGACCAGATTTTACAGGCTACAAAGGAAGCAGATTACCACTTGTATCGAATTCCGTATTGGATAAAAAAAAATCTTTTGTTTGAAAAAAAAAAAAAAAAAAATTGCTGATTATCATAACAGAAAAATTGCAGCAGTGCAATTTTGAATACTGGCTGGCATCACAAAAACACAAGGCAAGGCGCTCATGCAGGAGTAATTATAACATTTACAATATTCCGTATTTACTGCTCTATATCTCTTGAGCAACGTGAGCGTCGTTGGCCGTACTAAAGAACGGATGCCAAAGAAAAATAAAGCTAAACAGGAAGAAACACAGCTCAACATGCCCCTCGTATAGTTTTAACAAATCCTCCACGAGGACTTGCAATCAGTCAGGCGGCACAAATGAGCTAGAACAAGTTTTGTTTGGTACCCATTGACTGATGGCTGAGCTGGGGTGAGGGATCGCAGGATCTGCTGGGGTTTTTTCAAGCCCCCAAATAAGCACATCCACAGTGTAGTTTTAAACTCTGGCCTCTTCAATAATGCATTCTTAGTGGGGAGTTGTTGCTCGAGTTAGAAAAGACAGTTTCCACTCTTAAGTGCGTCTTGTTGCCGCCGACGTTTTCAAGGGAAGGAGCTCTTTAGAAAAACATGCAATTATACTTGTTTACCTACCACATTACACATATCGACAATATTTTTTTATAGTTGTAATATTGTAGCGAAAGGTATTTTTTGATTGGTGGAAAAAACAAAAATGATGCAAGGACTATTTTTGAGGTGCTTCTAAAATTACAGGGGGAGTGCTGTGACAAAGATTGTAATGTGTGAAGTGGTTGATATTTTTGTTTGTGTTTTATATAGTATATGTTACCATACGACGCATTTCTTTGAGTGTGTTTACTAGTGGTGTAATAAAAATAGAGGAGACAGATGTGTGCAGCACAGTATTTTAGGATTTCAGTATAATAGGTGCAAATGTTAAGCGTATTTTCTTTGATTTATTCTGGTCATAGGAGCTGGTACAGTGAGCTGATGCTTCACTTTATTTTGAATTACTTCAACAAAAGGTGCAGTTTTCTGACCTTCTACTTTGCTTTTTCTTTTCACCTTAAAGTTAGCAATCAAGTTTGTAATTCAAGATCTAAAAACTCTGCTTTTATGTGGTGCAAAATTATTCCAGGCTCACAAAATTCAGAATAAGCAGCACAAGTAAAAGTGGCCCTGAGCCTCCCCGTTAGATCTAGTAACCTTTAATGTTGGCCAAGAAATGTGAATTTAAAAAGAAAAAAAAATCACCTCTAAAAGGTTTGCAAATCTAGAAATTTGTCCTCCTCCCCCCCCCCTCTTTTTTTCCTGCCAACCGTGTTGCATTCCCACGATAAGCCCCAGTCTTCTCTTTCCTTCTCCACAGCCCCTCACTTAAGAACAGGCCAGGGAAGCAACCTTTTAAATTGTGATTAGGCATAATTAATGGCAAATGGGATTATTTCCCTCCCTCAAATGTCTGATTCATTATCAGAGATGCAAGGTTTTCCAGGACAGGGAATAGGAATAGCATTTCTTATTTACTTCACTATAACTTTGCCATTCTCTTTCATCAAAAATGTATAGCTATGCTAAGATTCATTTTTCATGATCTGTGGCTGTCCCAATAATAAGCTGCACTGTATGTATATGCGCTGGTAGCCTCACATGGCTTTCCCCCCCTACATAATCTAAACAGCATGCACCTTTTACTAGAGATTCATAAGCTACATGAAATATTGACAGCATATCAGCATTGATAAACAGCACTACAAATGGCGTGGCTCAGCATTTCTCCGACTCGGCTCCAAAGGGCACACGTCTCTTTTTATCCTTTTCTGGATAATTCAGCAAAATGACAGATACAAAATATGTTTCCTCCACATTTTAAACCACAGACTATATTTTACTCACATTTTTCCCCTTTTCTCTTGCTATATCGACTTCTGTGATGTGACTTCCTTGATAATGTTAGTTGATATTGCGAGTGGAGTGATCCATTCCCTCTCTTTGTTTAATGTGACAGCGCCAGGACTTGATCTTTGTTTGTTCAAAAAAAGTCAGCCAGAGCGGCGTGTTTAGCTCCGTTTAATGTGTTTGTCTCGTGATTTCCAAATGCTAAACATGCACGCAGATAAATCGTCAAGGTTAATTCTGTACCGAGCCACATGACTGATCTTCCTCCTGCCATGTTTTCTGCTTGCTTTTTTATCTCTCCTTCACTCTCTCTATCTTTTCTCTCTTCTCCCTTTTTTGCTCTCACGACGCAGTTGATAAAGTTACGTGAAGAGGTAAGTGCTTCTCTGCTCCAACAGTTTCAATTCCGCTTTCCCATTGAAATTTCAATTTGCCCTCCTCTCTCCTGTAGAAAATTAAAATCAGCTCATTTGGACTTTTTTTTTTTTGGCATGTCTTGTTAAACAGCTTGCAAGCCAAGCCAAGATAATGAATTCACCAAAAGCCAGTCTCTCCAGTTACCTTAAATATCATAAAGAAACAATATTATTTCTCATACTCCTTTTTGAAGACAAACATTAGGCAGTAAAGGCTTCGAGTAGATTATTGGGCCAAACACTGATCAACATCTCAATTCCTAAAGGGATTTACAGCTTGTTTTAATGTCCCTCAACTTTCCTGGATTGGGCCACATCAGTTGCCCTCAGCCTTCGGTGATAAATTGGACTGAGGTTACCATTAATGATATGATACGTGTTAAAACACTTGTTGTTGTTTTGTCATTAACCACTGCATTACCATCACCACCATCGCCAAAGGTTACCGAACTCCATGCATGACTATTTATTCGTTACATGTTTTTCATTGTTCATATTCCATAATGTGAAATGTAAGGGACCATACACAGTGTGCAATGTAATGAAAATGTTTAAGTCTTTAAGCGTCAACTCAAGTGTTGGTGCTCAGCAACCATACAAAGACAATGACTATAAAGGACATTGAACTGTTTGTTGTCGTCTTTTGACTCGTACAAAAGAAAATTGTTGTTAGCTATTATGGTGACAAAACAAGCCAGTGGAGCTATAAAGTGTGTCACACTCTAGTTTGAGAACTCTGTGTTGGCCTTTTCCTTCACTTATTTTACCTATTAAACAGAAAAATACACTGCACACTGATCCAAGTTTCTCACTTTCATGAACTTAAGCTGTGTCTCATATCGCGTACTTCTGTACTTACACTTTTGAGTGCATAAATGCGTTCACACTGAGAAGTATGGGAAAAATGCACTGCACTATGAATACCCGGATGGTGCTCTCAAAACAGTCAAGAAGTTGAGTGTGGAACTATGGACACTTCTCGCCCTCAATGGTCACCATCTTGGCTACGTAGTGGAAGCCACTTTTCAAACTGGAAATTGCGGCCAAGGACTGTGTGACCGTGAACATCGCTGCATTGTACACACATGTTTTTTGCACTCAGCACCACTATACTGTTGTCGGGTATAAGCCAGCAGTATGTTTATTGTCTTAATTTAGCAGTCTGTAATGATTTGCTACCGTGAATGATAACGCGAATGCTAATGCTAGTTTGCTAACTAGCTAATTTGTGGTCGTCATTTCTGGTGAGTGCACAACGGCCGTGTTTGGTTTGAGACAACACTACCCTGTTCAAATTCGCGCACTACCCTAGTGAGTACATAGTGCACATAGTATACTAGAAGTGTACTAACGGAAGTATGTGATTTGAGACACATCATAAGACTAACGTTAGCTTAACTGCCTTGTTAACTCATTGAGAAACACACTTCATTCAGACTTTACAGGAACAGAATGAAACGTATCAGTACCATATTAATAAGGGTTGTCATCTAGTTAGTGAGTCCACTGTCCCAACAATTATCAACTCTGGTTTGGTCGAAATAAAACCTTAATTCTCAGAGTTAGGTGTGAAAAGATGCTGATCTGAACGCTGTTCATTCATGCGATCTCTGCCTCTCAGACGTCAATTGAGCAGCAGCTCTCACTTGTTCTTCCAAAGCAGCAACATGTTTCAACTGACATGCAATTAAAGGCAACAAAAGAAACCTGGAAATAAGAGTGACAGTATCATTTTAAAAATGTCAGACTACTTATTTGAAAAGGTATCCCTCCACTGCTTGCTTCATCATTACCGCAAAACCTAATAGGGTTGCGAAGGTAACAGCACACATAAGAATGAAAGCCGCTTGACCATACTGCTACATTGATTTGAATGGGAGTGTCTATTCTACTTTCACTCTATTTCTATGTCTAGAGACTTTAAATCGCTAACATTCTCATCATATGGACATGCAACACCTAAAATATTATTTTGGTTTAGCAGATAAAGTTAGCGACAAATCCCAGCCAGCAGAAACAAGAATCATAGTTAGCTTGTTGCATAGCTGAGTAGATCAAATGCCATCGTAAGGTTTTGTAAGTTAAAGAGGGAAAAGGCAGCCAAACAAATAGTCGGGTAAAAGGAGGTTTATTTACAATGAAAAATGTGCAAACAAGGACCACCAACTAAAAACAAGCTCCAAAAGGGAACCTAATCACCTATCAGGGGAAACCTGATTTGCATTAACCATTATTCTACTATTCATATAACTTTTTGTTAAACTTTCCTGTATCCAGTTCCCTTAGCAACAGTTGGCAGTTTTCTCTCTTTGAGGTATTAAACCAAAGGCACTGATGTTGGAATAAAATCATGGTTCCTTGAACTTTTATGTCATTGCAGTATCTGTATTAGCTGTAAGTCTAGTACGGAGCCTCTAATTGAGCTTCCTCGCTCATAATTAAATACAGATTAACTTTAAATTGACTTAATCTTTCAGTTAGAAAAGCTAATAGTAACAAATGTAATATCGGACTGCTCTGACAACTCGTCTATTTGTTGTGCTTCTTTTAAAACTTCTACACCAGACAACATTCAGATAAGTGATGTGGCAAGCATGATAATTCAAATAAGCAGTCGAAAAAGGCCTGAGTGTTGATTTAGTTGTCAGAATAGGTGGTTTATTAAGTTAGATGGTGGTGTTTAAAAGCATGTAAACTGTAACATTGCAGAAGTGCAGCCTTTTAGATTTTAAAGTTTTTGCTCCTGCGCTGTCCAGCAATATTAGTCATATTTGTCCAATGTAACATATATGCTCTTTACAGTCTTAATATTTAGAGTTTATACACTGTACATATTTCAATAGATACTCATAAAGATCATGTTTTAGAGGAGGTGTATTTCCAATAAGTCGATTTAGTTGTTTTAGGTTACACTATATTGCTTGTCCTTTGAAGCATGACTGGACTTGTATTTACAGGTGTACTTACAGTATGTTGTTAAATGTGCCTTTGAGTGAGACTGTGTTCAAAAGGGTCTCTGCTGAGGCAGAGTAATTCAGTTCCTATCAAAGGCTCACCATTCACACCTATCCATAATTTAGAGCGCCAACCTGGCCCAGATGCCATGTTATCACGCTTTTTTCTTTTATTTAGCTCTACTTTTGTTTCCCCGTCTTCTTCCCACCTTTTTTGTGCATTTCCTCCTAGCCTGAGGGTCAGAAGACACCTCGAGTTACCTCACCTGTCTACCCCTCCTGGAATGGCCCGATCTGTGTAATCGGGCTTGATTCTGTGCCCTCTTCGCCATTGCACTCCTCCATTGCAGTCTTTTACCCTTCTGCTCCTCCTGCATTTGAATCAAAGGCTGGCACAGCTTATACACACTTAAGCCTTGCTTTAAAAAAAACTATACTTTTTTTTTTTCTTCAGCTGAAAAACATGTTTAAATATTTAGCACCCATATTCACAGCTGTTTGACACTTGTAATTCCTCGTCTTACAAGTCCCAAACAAACGGCACAGAAGATCACACAGTTAGTCTGAATCACAGCTGTCATCATTATTCACTTTGACTCTCCCCCACCCTTATTGAAATAATAAGGAAATCATCTGAACTTTGGAAAATGGTGATAGTAACCGCCTGTGTTTGATATTGAAAAAAGGCAGGAGAGCGAAAGAAGAGGGGAGAGATTTCTTTTGAGCTACAGCTGCATTGTTCTGGGGCTCCCTGTTAATAACTTACAACTGAAGAGTGTTTCTTGACGCAAAAAAGCACAACAAAAAAACACCATTTTTCGTGGTTCCTAAGAAGATCTTTGTTCAAAATGTAGGTGTCAGATGAAAAGGCATACATGCATAGGCAGAAATGGTGGTGGTGGTGGTGGTGGTGGTGGGGTGCACCGGTGCACTCAAAGATGCACAATGTTTATCACCATATATTGCATTTAAATCCTTTGCTTGAAGGCTCCATGAGACAATCAGATATGATTTGACGAACTCCTTTTCTTAAGTTGATTAACAGCAGATTTTAATTGCGAGCCTGTATATGAGCTGGAGTAGGTGTTAGTTCTGAGGATATCATGATGGTTATATCAGAACCACAGGGGTCAAGCCTTGATACATGACGTTGTAGCACAGTAGGGGCTGGCAGCCACTTTGCATTTTCTTCGACAAAAATGCTGACAAGGATGTCTTGGCTTTTGCTTGCTAACTGCAGAATAAAAACACAGTCGAGCACTGCGATTCACATTTTTGTGTTGTGATATTTGTATATTGGAACAAAATTGCTTTTCTGGAGAGCAATAGTCACCTCATTTTCGATGAAGTTTGTAGACGTAATCTCTATATCAGCCTCGACTGTGACTACGTACTCGTGTAGGATGTTTAGTTTTCATTGTACACGTTCCTTTTCATTATTTTCCGCAGTATCATCTTGCGTCCATTGCTGGGCTGTTTCATTATTAGGGCCATCACTGTGTGCCATTACTGGATTCTTAGTGGCTGAACTCTCACCCTTTCCTTCAGGTTCTGTCACCGTCAAACTCGGGGCGCATTATTCTAATGATCACACACACATATACACCGCCACTGCCACCACTACACCCCCCCCAGCACCCCCCACCTCACACACCCACCCACACTCACCCTCCCCTCCCCCCGGCCCTAAAAGAAGACAGAACGAGGGAGAGAAGAGAGAGAGAGAGAGAAATTCAGGAGGAGAAAGCTTTGAAGTGGCTTTCCATCGCAGTGAGTCTGCCGGCCGTCTCCCCGAGACGTGTCACCTTTGCCGAGAGGGAATAGGAAAATCACGTTTCGAATGGTAATGATAACATACTAATCACTTGAGCTCTTTGAAGAACCCGGGGAGTGCGCTACTCTGTCAGTATCCCTGGCTGCCTCATGCTCCCAGGCACACACAGGCACTGCAGCCATGGTCTAGGTGTATAAGCTTAAGCATTGCATGTCAATACGTCCCCTCTGATCCATAGGGGCTCATTATAGCCCAAGCTTGGTATCCATTTTCTCCCACGAGCACACTGCCACCATCTCTGCCGGTGCCACTACCACTTCCACACCCATGTAACCCCCCCCCCCACCCCCCCCCCCCCGTCTACCACACCCTTCACCAAAAAGCACACCACACCTTGCATCCCGTCCCACACACCGTCTCTTTGTCGCTTTCCTCCCACTGTCAGCCCATTTTACCACCCATCCACCCACCCGTTCTCCTATCCCTCCATCCTCCCCCTGCCCTCCCTTTAACTATTGAAAAGTATCTCTGCAATTTTAAATGACATCTGTCAGCGGCGTGAAGAAAAAGGAAGTGAGGGAAAGAAAAGAGTTCAGAGGGAGTTTTCTCCTCCCTGCTCTTTTCCCATCCCTCTTATTGTCAAACTTTGAAAAGTGTGTCGTTGACTTTTTTTTTTTTTTTCCCTCCACGTTTTTCATTTCCTCTGAGTGATTAGCTGGTACACATTTTGACAGCCTAACCAAAACTAGAGATTTCACTCTCTCCCCCCCGTCCCCTTCGCTCATGTGATGGGCATAAACCCTTGTCAGAGAGGCGGATGTCATTCGTCGGGTTGTTTTTGAGTGTCAGATATGTTGCATCTGATCAGTTTCTTAACATAGCATATTAGAAAGGCCATCAAAACCAACAACATTCGAGTAAACATTTAAGCCTTCTGTGTGTGTGCTCTTTAAGATCCTCTCTTCTGAATTCAGTTTGGATTTAATGAAAGCTAGGGCGCTACACTGGACAATATGAAGCTGTATATGTTGTCTGAAGCTGTGTTTGTATGTTAGATAGGGGGTTGAAACTTTGCTCTGAACAACCACAGATTAACAACAGACTTTACTGAGATTACACCACACCTCTGCCTAATAAATAGATAGTATGATGGTATTGACTGTCTTATAAGTGTTTTATACAACATGTGGAACTCTACGTAGTCTAAATCCACCTAAGTGATTGGCAAATGGAACTTAGCTGTAATCAGCAGAATAACAATTTGGTCACTATTTAAAATCTCCTTGAAGCAACCACGACGATGAAATAGAATAATTGCATTGAAAAAACGACTTCAATATAATATCCAGGCATTATCTGAAACAAAGAAAGATCAAACAGATGCTTTCATGATTAACCCCCTTGTGATACAGTACACCAGAATCTTTTTAATGGGCGACGTAGTTTATTAGATCTTTGGAATCGTGTTTAAGACATAAAAAGGTCAGAAGCACAGACTCAAACTTAATGCGAACATTTTGGCAACAACCTTAAACACCATCCTTTTTGGAGAACACCTTACATGACCGTCCAAAACATAGACACAAGTGTGTGAAGTGGAATTTTGGCATTTTTAAATAGTTTATTGCAACCACAACTGAAGCAGCAGTCATAGTAAGGGAGCCTCTTTTGTACAATAAATTAAAGGTATACTGTGCAGGAATTTTTGGTGACTGTTTTTAAACAGTATCGCCAGCAAAATTATTCTAGATTCACTCGCTAGACTCATTCGCTATACGTCCATTTTGAAGCGCTGTTTCTGCATTGTTCATAGCTTCCTCTTGGAATGCCTACCACTTCCGGTCTGGCATCTGGTTGCTATGTTTATATAAAGTCCCAACTTTACTTACCGGCAGTAAGTGATGATTGAGGGGGATTACTTTTGTATGAGTCTATACATTGTTTTTTTTAAGAAAACCTTGCATTGTCTGGCTTTAAACAATGTAATGTTGAAAAGATCAATGTAGCTGTTGCCGGGCGTATATCGTCTTTTTTTTAATCGTCATTGCGATGTCAACTTGTGCAATAAGCGCACTGCAAATAACTGCGATATTGCATCATATTAGGATTTTATGACATAGAAGAGAGTATCAATAGAAAACTGCGCTTTTAGATGCAACTGTCATTCTTTTTTTTAAGTTAGTGCCTTTTGTTTTCAGTTCACTGTTCAATAAAAGAATGTTAGAAATAATTTCCTTTCATTCTTTTTTTAATTCAACAAACAATTCCTCGAACTTTAGCAGTATATGGCAAGGTGCTCTGTTAATGCTTGCTTTTGGTGCTGTTGCCAGTGGTATTATAGTTGTCCTATCCTAATGGTTGCCGCAAGGTACATGATGAGCTAATAAAGGACTAAGACATCTACATCTATCAATTTAATTTATCCATCGTATACTGAAAGAAGGTGAATGGCATTTATATATCGTAATTTATTGCATGTAATATCATTATCGCAATATTTATCGTTATCGCATATCATTTATTTTCTTCATATCATGCAGCCCTATGAGGCATTCCCAACTAGAGATTTTTTACGTTTTTAAAAAATGGCTTCCAGCACTCAAGGACAAATTGACTAACTGTAGCTGTCAATTTAGATGGTGGTAGTGGAGGGAATTATGTTTAAACCAAATATGAAAGCATTCAAGACTTTATTAACCTCAACTAATCACTCACTACAGTCCATCCTGGAAGGTCTTTGTACAGGCAACATTCAGAATTGACGCAATTCAGGAAAATAAAACACGCACTGTACTGAATGTTAATAACTGTCAGGTGTAGATCGATATACGTAAATGTAGCATTGACTCCTTTTATCTGAATATAAGAACCAACTAATTCAAAACGTTGAAAAACCTGATCAAGTAAAAAATCATTAGCCTTTCCCCCTTTCCATAGAACTGCATGTTCCTTTTACATCCATTAATACATGGTGCAGGGATTGGATACGTGAACATAATGAAATGTCAACATAATGGTAGATTCCTACGTTGGAGATCCCCTACTGTAAGCTGGAACTCAAGGCCATCCGTCGGCAGATCAGATCTTTTCTCGCCTTGCTTGTCAGACATGAATTGTTCAACTGTGGAGAAGAAACCAAAACCACTGGTTCTCCTGGTATCTAAGGAACTGCTATCAATTGATATGTTTACACACAATATTAGAGCCCGAGCTGCACACCTTAATGCTCACAAGCATCCACTTTGAAAAAATGATCAAATTGCTTATTTAATTATTGATGGAACATAGTTTTTTTTTCTCTCTTGATATGCTCTCTTAGCTCCATACCTTCAATGGGCAGCCTTGTCAATTGTTGATAGCTGTGCGTAAACCAAGGGGAGGGATGCAGTAACTCATACATCATGGATTACTGTTTTGGTCCACTAATGTAGATAAACAAGAAGCAGAAAAGACGTTTAATGGTTTTGTTTAGGATTGATATTAAATCTCACGTCTGTATATTGATCTTTTTATTTACGTTACTGATACCAGTGGAGGATTATTGTTATTATTCAAGAAATCTTACACTTTATATGTTGTATCAGTCTTTACAATTAAAGGTGTAAATGTTGATTGTCTTAAATTTCTCCATCAGTTTGAAGCTGTCACCTGGACGGCTTCAAATTAGATTTTTATTGTATCTTAATTCGCTCCACCTCCCTGCCTTAACTTTCCCGCACGTGCAGCAGAAGGCTGCGCTGTGAAACAATACCAGTAGGCAACAAACCTCAAAGTAGTTCTTGTTTTTATGTCCAAGATGAGGCAGCAGCACCTCTTACATTGTCAGCCTCAACATGCATATGCTTGATATTCCATCAGCATATAACACATTGTCATCCATGAAGGTTATTGCCAACCTGGCTGTATTATGTTGTCGCTGTGGATGTGGTCTGTCTGTTTAGGTGACAGTGTTGATGTGTTTCTTTGAAATGGGTCCCAGCCCTCTCAATCAATTTTGTGTGTGTGTGTGTGTATGTGTTTGTTTCTCTGGCTTTATTTTTTTCTCTCTCTCCCTCTCTCCCTATTTGTTGCAGAGAGCGCATCTGTTGGACAACACAGAGAAGCTGGAAAGGTCATCACGGAGACTGGAGGCCGGCTACCAGATAGCAGTAGAAACTGGTACGCATTCTGTTTTGGATTGGGTTAGGAAGGAGTGGGGTGGTGTCGGGAGGGTGGAGGGGGGGCGTTCAAGATAGTGGTGAGGATGAGTGAGCGACAGCAAATTGTCTTGCTCATATGCGAGGTGGGTGGATATGTGTGTTTGTGTGTGTGTTTGGTGGGGTGTGTGTGTGTGTGTGTGTGTGTGTGGGGGGGGGTCGAAAAAAAAAACCTCTTTCCTTGACGCCTGATGACATTTTCGGGAGCACATCAAAGGCGAGCCAGGGAGGGAGAGAGAGGTGTACAGGCAACAGATCGAGCGCCGCTTCTCCTTGCTCTGCTCCCGAAGAAAATTCGTGCATCGCTACGGCTGTGTGTCTGTGTGTGTTGTGTGCATGCGTGTGTGTTGGTTGGATGGTGTTTTTTTTTTTTTTTTACACAAACAGACAGGGGGTCTATGAAAATAAACAACGTCAGCGTTCCTCCTTAAGTTCTTAATTCAGCAGTGCAGAAGGGAGGAAAAAAAACATAATATCACTTTCTAAATAAACCATCCTTAAAAAAAAAAAAAACAACACAAACTCCTTTTTTTCCTCATTATCAAGGATGGTTTTTATCTTAAAATAGGAAAAAAGCTCATTGGGATCTTAAATAGATTTAACCAGTTAGCATATTTTCTTTCTTCCTGTCTTCCTTCCTGACAGTCACCACATTATTGAGGCACAGTGTATTCCTCAGAGATGTATCAAAGCTCATTCTTGAAGTGTCAACCGGCTTTCTGTGGCTTCCGTTGTAGTTTTGAAAAAGTTTGTCAATTTACACTATAATCGCGGGGTGGCTGGCGTGTGCGACATCGACAGATTTAATAATTCAAGTCAAGGAAGGTTCGCACGCAGACCACCGGCTTTTGATGTTCTCTGTAACTTGCATTCACAAATTCACAAATACAATCTGCATTCTCTGCTTAAAAATGTTGATTCAAACGCCTCAGATGATGCGAGTTTCTTGACTGTGTTAAATTCTGCGACAGCCAACAGATTCTTAATTCTACCCAGTTGTGTCTTTCACTAAAGTGGCTGTTGTTTTTTTGTGTTGTGTTTTTTTTTTTTTGAGCCTCTCAGCTTGGTTGGTGTCAAAGAAGTGGGCCATGGCTTAACAGTGTTCAGTACCTCCTAGGCCCGGCAGTTTTCTCCTGCCGTAGTTGGCCACCTGCCCCTTGACCCTGAGTCACCAGTGGCTCTCTCATCCACCGTGTGTGCGGCTAGCTAAGAACAATGCTCGTTTATTCCGCCTTGGTCCTACACACTTGGCTTGGTCCACACCAGCTGGGGGTGTGTTTGTGGTTTGGTGGGGAAACTTCGCCCCTGCGTCTTTAATCCATGACCCCTTCCCTTCCTTTACTCTGCTGTCGATACCAACCCTCCGCTCAGATGCACAACCTGAAATGGCGATGTCTCTGGGTCAAACAGGGAATACATCTGCACAAAGAGTAGAGATACACAGGGAATATGCACTTCACCACCAGACTAATTACTGTATGTGCCAAGCTCTCAAATTCAACAAACACCACTGGGCACAAACATCAGGTAGCCATATTTATCCACTGGTTTATAAGATTTGACAGGGCTAGCCATCTGATCCCGAATTCAGTTTGCTCTTTAATTTGGTGTTGTTCACCCATCTCAAACTATATATTTACTCTTGTGGTAACTCTTGTGCGGCAAGTCACAACACTTCCCAGACATCTTCATGAAATCCTGCACTATTTAGATCACAGTCCTGCCACAGTTCTTGAGACACAGTACATTAAGCACTGGGATTTGTCTCTTTGCAAACTGCTTATTTTTATAGTCCAACAAAAGCTCCATTTATTGTAGTTCCTTCTGTTTCACATCAACAAACACAAAATAATAAAATAAAAGTGCACCGGGTTTTATTCATGCACCTTATGAAAATGGCATTTGCAGTTGTTGAGGAATAAGCTTTGAGTTTTAAAACACAGAGGTGTGGCATCCATAGACGTTAAACACAAATAATTAGAGCGTTAAGTGTTTCTCCAATCAGACAGTCATTGTAAATACTTTTCTTGCCACAATCTCTCCTCAGACATCTAAGCCGCACTCTTTTTTCCCCTCAAAGAAGAGCAGTTTAGCATCATTATTTTGCAGTAATTCAAAGTTGCATTCTCCATCCACAATGACACAGTAGCCCTTAAGAACTGTAATTGACCAATGGGGGAAGTGGAACTAAAAGACATTTTATTTCAAAGAGATAGATCCTGAACAAAGAAATGGCGTAGAAACTCAGCTTTGCCCCCTTTTCTCTCTTCAGCGTCGACAATATATCTCTTAATGACCAGGAACAAAAAAGCCAGGATGCTTCTAGGTCACATTTAAGGGAAAAAAGAGGACTCTTAGTTCTAAGAAAAGATAAATCTTCACACAGTACCATTTTATCAGATTTCAGCATTTTTTTTTTTCCCTACCATTCTCAATGTCTCCAGTGTATTTAGCGAAAACAAAGGCCTGCCAAAAGCAGTGAGAGCCCTCAGAGGGATATAGAGGAGACTCTTTGGACATGCAGAGCTATTTACCACACGCACCCTCAAGAACCACGGTCCTCTGTTTGTCTCATAAATAAAGTATAGAACTTCATTAGTGAAGAGCACTGACTTAAAAGCCCAGGCATAGCAACAAGCAGACATGGGGGCTAGCCCAGTTAAAGAGGGCCCTAAATAAAGAGGGAGGGCATGCAGTTAGCCAATTTAAAGACATTTGAGTCAGGGGCATTTGAAATGCCCAAATGTGGAGGCTTGACTGATGTTAAATCAAAGACATGCCAGATTTTTAGTCCTTCCCTCCACAGTTGAAAAGAGTTTGAATGATTTATGATTGCTTGTTTAGAAATAGATAGCATGTCAGATAAGACATCTAAGTTGCAATGATTAGCTGTTCCACCTTTTTGATTATTATTCATTGAAGGGGAAAGAGTTACATACTGATCGACAGTTCATATAAGACATGGCGGAAAAAAAACTCTGCTTATGGTAATAAAAATCCACCGCTTTGTTTACTGGCATCAGTGTAGTAATTGAATTGGGGCAGCCTTTGCTGATGGTGCTGTAAATGTGCAGTCGCTTTAGGACGTTAATAGTGATTGTAAACAAAGGTAAACTTTCAACTTTGTAGCAGCAGTGGTGTTACATGTGCTTGAAGCTTTTGTCGTGACTTATGCAGGTTTAATCCAATTCTAAATTTCTGAATTTGATTTTAACATCACATGTAAAGGCTTTTAATTTTTACAATTATGAAGGAATGAATGCATCTCGGAGGCAACATTTAGAAATCCTATGACTCAATAAATCAACCAGCAAATGTGGATTCACTTTGAAAAATTATCCCCCTTTATACTTGCTCAGTTGACACAAATAACTTAGCAATGCCAGCAAAATGAGCCGCCGAAACAAAGACAGGCGCAGACAAAAGCGTTGCTACTCTGCATTTTAAAGGTGGCCAGCAAGAGGCTGAGAACACTTCTTAGGCGAGTGTTCTTGGTGTTTAGGGGCCTGTAATCAATCCTACAAAATGAAAACAGCTCATTAGGGATTGATTTCAGTCCCGTTTAGATAAGCAGAGAGGGCCAGGGCCCGGCCCCCAGGGGCCCCAGCCGAGCCCAAAGTTCACGCCATGCCAGGTAGAGAGCAGCACCGCAGGCTATCAACTTTATTAGGATGGAGATAAGCTGATTAGACCTTGTCAATCAAAGGTGCCAGTGACTCAATCATGATCCAGGGGTCTTTTCTTTCTGTCTCTCCCCTTTTCTCTCTCTTCCCACTCTCACAATCTCCCTCTCTTTTTTGTGATAAATCATTGAAGCGACCAACAAAGTGGCAGCCATCGCTGGGCTAAGCTAAGCAGCCCTGCAGTTGTCACCAAGGCAGACGCGTGGGGACCCTGTGATGATGTGACGACTATATTAAAGAGTACATCAATTTGTTTTAGAGCAGTTTGATTTTCAACTGCAGTGGTATTAAAAGAGAGGGGGGAAAAGAGGGGAGGGCGAGCGTGTCGGCGTCATCGAACATGATTCCAGTGGCAGAGCAAGGGGTGCCGGGACAGCAAGAAATAAATAGATAAATGACAGAGTGACGGGAAATAAATAAATATGTTTTTGTAAACATAAAAAAAAAATCTTCATGGCTCCCTTTTGAAGCAGAGTGTGGCTTTGAGTCTTGCTGAGAGTCCACGGGCGCTGGAGTGGTCCAGTAACACAGCGCACGTTTGTCCCGACTCTCTATCTCTCCCCCTCCATCTTCGTCTCGTTCTCTGTTTCTCTCCCACTCGCTTTATTTCTCCCTGTTCCCTCTAAAGATCAGACTCGATGATTCTTTTGGTGCTGGGCCACCAAAGTGGTGCTCGCTCCTCAAATCCATAAGCAAACACTTAGCAAATGACATAATCAGTTACATTTATGAAGCGCTGGTGATATTTTAAGCAGAGGCTATTATTAGCTTCTGCTTAGTAATTTTTATTTCATTCTTTTGATATTTATAATATTTGGTTAATATAGAACAATGTAAAACCCTTATTTATGACTTAATCAAACATATTTATCAATTAAATAGAATTTTACAAATTAAAATCCTACTTAATAAAAAGTGTTTTTTAATTTAGAAATGTGCATTTTTGGAAATGATAAATACAATTGCCATTATTTATTTGTTTTTAAAGTGCTGATTCTTTTTGTTAATTTACACACTTTTGATAAACAGATCAATTTTAAATTAAGTTTATATTTTTAATTTGAAGTTTTAACACAACAATTTGACACTTTTTTTCTTTATTCACTACATGAATGATTTGTGGGATTACACCCAGTATATATGCAATGTAAATCTTTTTCCTTTCCACATGTAGCTGAATCTTCCCTCGCTTCTATTTTTAGTTTATTCTCTCTGTTCTACAATGTAGTTTGAATATTTGAAGGATCAGTTTGCTAAAGTGGATTTCCTTTAGGTATAG